TAGAACTGGTAAAAATAATTCATCAATTTGAAAACAATATTTTTCCTGAGGTAAAACTTTTTATTTTCATTAAAAAAGAGTAGATTTCAAAGCCTGTGATCGAATGTATTTATGATGAGTTTTGCTGGCAAGCTGTCTTTAACTTTTTAGTGTATTATTGCCTCAAAGCTTAGGCTAATAAGTATGTTTGCTTTAATATCAGTTGGCTTTTAAGAGATGGTAAGTGTTGGTCTAGGAGTGGTTTAATACCTTGTTATTTCTTGTGCAAGTTAGAACTAAAATACCTATTAGCACATACAAAATTATTTCGTGCTCTCATCTCCTTTTTCCCTGGTGTTCATGGGCTAGCTTAATGCATGATTTAATGTAGTTACATTGTAAGAGAAAAGGCTTTCTCAATTTTAGTTGAATACTAATAAAAACTACTAAGTTTAGCAGTTGTGTTTTCCAGTTTTCCCAGATAGTCATATAATAACTCATGATTGTGTTCCCATTTGTAGCAACCCTATTCAGTCTTACCCCTTCTGATTTTGTATCAGTTAGATGCTGTTGATTGATTTTTCTGCAGTGAACCCACATGGAACAAATACGTTTTAATATTTAATATTAATCAACACTCTTAATTTGAACGTTCATAGATATTAAAAGAAGAATTCTAACAATGAGGAAAACCAGGCTAATGCTGCATACCTTTCAAAGTAGTACAACATGCCTTTGTGCTCTGATTACTCTCAGGGTTGTTGGGGTTTTTTTGATACTGTTTTTTTTTTTATTTGGTTGGTTTGGGGATTTGGTTGGTGTGGGTTGGTTTGTGGGTTTTTTTGGTGTTTTTGTTTTAATGTATAAGTCATTAACTAGCTAACCTGGAAAAGAACAGCAATGAAGGTGAAAAAAGAAGGTGACTTGAGGTTTGGCATAGGTGATCTTTAAAGGTCTCTTCCAACCCAAACCATTCTATGAAAATGCATGGATTATCATACAAGCTAATAATCAAAATACAAACCTTTGGGAGGTATAACTGTAACTACTGTTGCCTGAATTTGAGACGTCATGATGCCATCTAAAAGATGGAACAGGTATTACAAGATGTATTTCTCTTTGATAAGCCCATGTGAGTCACTTTAATGTCTGTCCCTTAAGAGTAACTTATTAAAAAATTTGCTACTGAACAGTCTGAAGCAGTGTTTGCACATGGATAAACACATTTATGCACAGTAAGTTTTGACTAATTTTTAGTAAAGCTACATTGCACAGGGAGGGTGTTCTCATCTGCCTCTCCTGCTCTCCCCCAGTAATATACAACAGGATATTCAATGCTTTCACAGTATGCTTGAGCAAAGATATAACATTGGAAAATACAGTGTTAGTCTTTCACTATTAAAATCTTGCAGACTGTCCGTTGAGGCGTGCTTGATCTGTGCTGTCTATCTGAACATGGCTGTAAACTGTAATCTGAACGGCAAAGAGTAGTTCCATTAGATGGTTGGCAACCCTGATTAATTTAGGTAGACTGCAAGTTGTGTGGTTCTGAAGATTCATTAGGGGCTGTGTTGTATTTGGATCTTAGATCTAATGAAACTCTAAATGCTTGGTCTTAAATGTGTAGTATATAATGTCTGATCACACACAGCTTTTTTTCTATGCTTATACTGCCTGGTTATCTCACTATAATTCCTTATTTAGAATTGCTGGATTTAGTGACTAAAGGCTATATCTACATTTAGATGATGCAGTAGGAATAGATTGGTAGGTAGAAGCACTCAGTGCTAAAGGTCTTGCATTACATTGTGGTGTGATTCAAGTATTCTACCTGACGCCAGACTTATTTTGGCCCTCTGGATAAAATATCCCCTCCACATGTGTGATACAAATTTGTCTGAAGGACTGCTTGTTGGGATTGGAGTACAGTACTTGTACTCTGGGACCGAAGTCTTTAGTTTTGGTTTGTTTAATCCAAAAAGAATCTAGCTTGCATGCACTGAAATTGCTCTGCAAACCCAAGTAAGTGGGGATGATGATGATGATGATGATATTTGCTTCAAAATTGTGCACCAAAACATAAGGTGTGGCAAAGTCCATCCTAACTGTTGCACAAAGACTTATATCTAATGAACATTAAACATAAATGTGACAACTTGTGCTGTGAGTTGAAGGGGAAAAAAGGTAATTTTTCATGCACTCCACACAAAAATGAATAGATATTTGATGTAGCTACTAGTTCTTTTGCTTCTGTGTGAAGGTCACCAGAACCACCAAAATAATTTTCCTTTCCTTTAAATTTCCCTCCTTAAAATTCCTTTCCTTTAAAGCACTGAGATTTGTTTCTGCAAGTTGATCATTCCTTCCACTTCAGTGGTAGCATCTGATACCATCTTTCGAAGAGTAGTACCTTGGCCCTTGGGGAGCCAGTAATACACTGTGGCAACTGCAAGAATGGCATCTTAGACATCTTCACTCAGCTTTTGGCAATCCTCTGCAGAAGTCAGTGGAAGCCTTGAGAATGTCGTGGTTTAACGCTGTCTGGCAACTATGCACCACACAGCTGCTCACTCACACCCCCCTTCCACCTTCCAGTGGGGTGGGGGAAGAATTGCCAGGGTAAAAGTGAGAAAGAAACTCATGGGTTGAGATAAAACCAGTTTAATAATTAAAAAAAGAAATAATAATTAAAAAAAAGTAAGGAAAAGAAAAAATAGAGGAAAATAAACCCCAAGAAAGACAAGTGATGCAAATGAAAACAATTGCTTACCACCAACCGACCGATCCCAGCCTGTCCCTGAGCAGTGACCCCCCTGCCAACCTCCCCCCAATGTTTATTGCTGAGCGTGACATCATATGGTCTGGAATATCCCTCTGGTCAGTTGGGGTCAGCTGTCCTGGCTGTGTCCCTGAGGCGGAGGCTTGTGCAATCAAATTAAATGGGTGTTAAGCTCAATGAAATTTATTCTTCAATCAAAATTGTTTAGATCTCTGAGAACATTAGTAAACCACAGGTTCGGTGATATAAAGGGAAATTGATACTGCACAACTGACTTAAGAATTCTTAAGCTTTAGAAATGATGACCCAAAATGTGCATATCACTAACCTAAAAGATGAGCGCTCTTAACCTGCAGGAGTTCCCTTGGGTGGCGTCCCGACCCAAGGGCAGAGTCTCTGACTGCAGACCCGCTGCTCTGAGGAAGGCTGGCCTGGTCCCCTACCAGCTTCTTGTGCACCCCCAGCCTACTCCCTGGGTGAGAAGCAGAAAAGGCCTTGATTCTGTGTAAGTACTGCTCAGCAGTAACTAAAACATCAGTGTGTTATCAAGACTATTCTCAGCACAAATCCAAAACAGGCCCATAGAAGCTACTATGAAGAAATTTAACTCTATCCCAGCCACAACCATTACAAATACACAGCATCAAGTTAGGCTTTGCCCATGTGAAGTACATCAGTGTATGTGAATACGTATTTTGCTGTAAACTGTAAAGGTTATTGACTTTTTAGGAGGTGGATGATGTTGATGACAGTTGGTGATGGAAATATTAATTTCCTGAGAAACAGTAATCTTTGTTTTCACTTTTTTTTGTGCATATGAGATAATTGTAAATTAAAAACTGTTAAGTTTTTTTTTTTTTTTTGACTAGTAAGCCTCCTGAACCAGCATCTTCAAATCTGATGTTTATCATAGTGTGTCTTTAAGGCTGAACTAAGGTGCATTTTAAAACTCATTAGTTAGTGAAGGAAATTGGAAGTAAAGAAATATGGGGATATGCCCTTTGTTTTCTCATTTGGATACCTGTGAAGTAGGATTTTAATGCAGCAAAACCATTTCATGCTCCATCTTGTTCTTCTGGTTTCTTCTTTTGAGGATTGTATCCTCAACAGGTCTAGATTCGAGGTCATCCATGGAATTAGAATGTGATATTAGCAAATATAATTTGATAGGAGCAATTTCCAAAAAGGAATATTGTTTGGGTTTTGTGTATTAATTTTGTGTTTCCCATATGTTTAGATATATGTGTCTGCTGCTATATATGAGCTTTTGCTTGTATTTAATTGGTGTTTGTGGATTGCAGTTGCTCTGCACAGCGTAAAGGAATTAAATCCTGCTCTTCTTTGGACTTCGGATGTAAATCTAAGTAATAACAAATTATGACTCTAGTTTTAATGTATGTTAAAGCTTCATTATTTTAATTTTCTTATTCCTCTGACTTTTTTTGATTCAACAGTAATTTTCACACGGTTTAATGGTTTGTGCTTACAATGTACCTTTGGTAGGTTGAGAAACCCAAATAGGCTGCAGTGCATTTATTTACCTTCAAGTTATACAAGCTTGTCAGCAATAAAAGATACTACTAAGTAGTCATATTGTCTTTTATTGCTATACTGTATGCCAGTACACAGACTGCTAGTAAATACCAAACTGAGGACATTCCTCTAAGGATATCCATTTCTGTTAAGCTTTTTGTTGACTATTACAATGTAAACCTTCGTTTCCATTATGCCCTTTTTATACATGAGAAATATTTTATATATTTTTACATCAGTAGGTGGTACAAAACATGACTTCTCTATTTTCTATTCTTTTCCACAGTATATACTTGAAAAAGGAATCCTCAGGCCTCATACTGAAAGTTAGTTTAAAGATATTAAGCAGTTGATAGGGTCACTATCATGGAAAAGCAGAACCTTTTATCTTTGTTCTTTTCTAATATTGTAAATATTAAAAGTAGTTTTGAATTATTAACTCTGACATCTCTGGTGTGATATTCCAAATGCAGTTACCTTCCTTTCCTGTGACCTTCACTGAATTTTAGGTGTATTCCCGTTTGGGTTTTTTTGGCTTCTAGAGAAAAATATAGAAAAATAATCTTTACCTTTTGTTTTGCCTTTTTGTATAAAATGTTAGTATTTCTTTTTGCTTGTCTTCTCTCCCTCTGATAATACAGATACAGATTCGTTGGAATAAAATGTAACATTAGACAAGCAAAAGTAATTTTATTTATTCTGTTTCCAGATGGAATCAGTGTTAGTGGACTTCCGCTCTCCAGTCCTTTTCGGCAGGTTGTCAAGCCAAGAGTAGAGACTAAACCTATTAATCCACAAGAAAGCAGCAAAGTTGGTGACTTCAGTCATGTGAAGGTAAGTCATTGACATCAAAAGAAGTAAAAGATGTCATTTTCAATGTACTGTGTTATGGTTTGTTGTGTGATTAAAAAGTAAAGGTTTCTTTTTCTCATAAATATTTCCTTTTTTTTTTTTTAAGAACAGCTTGTTGATCTGTGTTTGGATTGTTATATTAGAACAACCGAACAAAAAAGGTGAAATAAGATCAGGCTAACAATAGAAATTGTAAAGAGTTCGTTACCAGTATGGTATATTCAAGGAACTGTCAGTTCTTCACCTCATGTTGCTTTCTTAAGCTATATACTCTGCAGGAAGGTGCTTCTCTATGAATTTTTTGTTTTCTTATATTAACATGTATGGAATGTTTTCTACCTTCTAAACATTTTTGGATCAAAGTCTTATCTTCACACATCCAGTAGTAAGCCTTTTAGAGGTGCTCATATAAGTAATAAAACAGAATAGTTAAAAGAGCCAAAAGAAAAGTAAAGTAGCAGGATGAAAGACCAGTTGTGTAGGTAGAAGTTGCACTGAGAGAGTCTTCCCAGGAGTAAGCTACTGTTTGTTTTTCTGTTGAAGATCTTACCTGTTGAAGATGTAACCTTCTTGTTTTGAGCAGTGAAATAAGAACATCTTCATACTGGCCAGATTTGTAGAGCATATAATTTAAGATGAAGATAACAAAGATTGTAAAAAATGTACTGCAGCCCTTCATTGGTCTCTTCCATAGCTTTGGTGAATGTTTTGCGTGCCTTGTAGTATTTGATATATTTCCTACATGGATCTGTGTTCTGCATTAGTTCATTCAGTCAGAATTTAGATTGAGTGTTTTACAATGCAATATTTGGCTTAGCATGTCTTTGAGAAGGAAAAATAGGCTTTGCTTTTCACAGTAACTTGCTTTGCATGTGAATTTGCTTTCTTCCCAGTGAGATTATTTACAATCCTATTTGATCAATAAACAGGTGAAGCTATTAATTTTTAAGTACGTTTGTACCATTAGCACTGCTAATTCATCATCATTTGATTCTGCGGTACAAAAAGGATGATGACAGCATATGAAAGATGATAAAAAATTAGTAAAGCTTTTCTTTGTATTTTATGACACAGCAAGGTGTTTCCCAATTGCTCATAAATATAAATCAGCATGATTGAGGAAACAATTTGATTTTTAAGTGAATAAAATGTCCAGCATTAATTTTTAAGTTTAGAACTTTGTGTAGAATGTCTGACCTATAGACACTTCTGACTTATGGAAGTAAGAGGAGTATTATTTCAAAATCAGACTAAAAATCCAGAAATGCAGAATTTCTTTGCACCAAATACATGAAAAAACCTTTTGGTGCACTTTTTGCTTGTCAGCCAGTTGTCCTGGCAACCAAGAAGTCGCAGGTTCGCAATGATCTATGTGATGGTATTACAAGGATGTTGGAGAGCTGTAAAGCAAGAACTTGGTTTTTAACAGTGTATAGTGAAACAGTCTGGTGAGAATGCACAAGCTTGATTCTCTTATTAGGTTTATGGAATAAATTTTGATTTAATTAATTGGTATTTTGTGATGGAAAGACCTTGCAGGTGATCAAAACTATGATCAATAGAGAATACACATTCCAATAGCATCAAGGGGTTCCTTGCTCAGTAAATTTGTCTGTGTATTGAGCCTGATTTGTATCACTGCTGTACAGCTCCCATAGCATGCCCCAAATTAACAATTTACTGTGTTAACATCTATTCTAAAACAACCTTAATCACTAACCTTGCACTTTTGGTAATGTTTAGATGAGATGATTTATAGAGGGGGAAAAATAAAACCAGGGTGTTAAAGTAGCCAACAGGATAAAGCTCTGGAGGAAGCCTACAAAATTATATTTCTAATTACTTACATTATTATCATTCTGATAATGTATTTGCAGACAACATCCATCATAGGAAAAATATGTCTTATATTTTTCCAATATTTCTAAGACTAGTCTATTGTAGATGAGGAGAGAGAAAACCACAGTAAGGTATCACCATCTGTAGAGTGATTTACTGCCATGGCTCATTCCAGTTTAACGAATGACCATTTCTATAACTTCCATTTCTTTTTACCATGTTAATATACTCATAAATAATAATCTTATCCCAGTTTGTCCCGATTAAACTACTATAAACCAATAATTTGATCTACCTGGATTAAAAATGGTTATGAAGTTGAGATGTGTTTAGAGTATCTTAGAAGTATTTTTCAATTCCCCAGACTATCCACATAATTAAGTCTCTATGTACGTGGACATAGATAGTTGGTACTGGGCAAATGACCAGAAGAAATTGCCTATCATAGCTGAAGAGATTGCATTTGTCTATTTAGATGACTATATTAGATCTGATTGATAGTCATTCTGTGATAAGGTATTATATCTAGCTTTTTCCCCTGCTGTCTACTTCTTCTGTTTAATACTGTCTGTTTATTTCTGTTTGTGACTTCTCCCTACATTGACAATGCTCTTTAGTAGATAGAAACGTGAGAACCGCCCGTAGCTTAAAATAAGAGCTAGACAAATTCCAAATAAATTATCAGGCAGTTATTGTAAATAATTGAGTCAATTAAGCATTTAAAGATACAATTAGAACGTGTTCTGGTCCGGTTTTCTTGGTTGGGTTCTGAGGAATTTGCTGTATTTTTGTTTTTGACTTGCTTGGGTTTAGCCTGGGTATCTTTCAGAGTACATGAATATATATGTTTGTAGTCAAATGCAAATGCTTTTGCTCAGTAAGAACATGGCTGTCTAAAATGTAGCAAGCTGGGATATATACAGGAGAGATGATCCAAGGGTCTCTTTGAATCCGAGTCTCAAAATATTTGATACTTACAAATCTTTCTGAGTTCCCTAGAACCTCCTTAAAAGATACTTCAGTTTCTCTCTGTTGCTGCAGAATAATTCAGCACTTGTGGGCTATTGCCTGTGTCCTGTGCAGTGCCATTTGGGATGATTGCTTGATTATGTTTTAAGGTTTATCTTGTAATAGTCAAGCCAATTAAAATGGTTTGACAAAGACTAATGTAAGAAGCAAGTAGGAGTTTTTAATTTAAGAAACAAGATTGATCTTAAACAATTTGTATGTGTGGTGAAAATGCTCTTCTGTCGTTTATTCATGATTTAGCAATAAGTGTCTGTTGTGAATATTGAGGAGTAGTAGTTATTTTTCAATCCTGCATGCTGTGCCTAAGCTAGTCTTCAAATAAAGCTGAATTTTTGGAAATGAAAATTAATGTAAATCAATGCTTCTCTTGTTGCTGATTCTGAAATGTCCTTGATCAGATATTTATAAGTCTTAATGCTTAAACCTTCCCTCCCTACTTGTTTGCCTTACAATTTTTGTGCTTCAGTCTTGGATATTGCCAGTATTGCAGTTGAAGTTCTCTGCAATCTACGTTTTCAATTTTGCTACAGGCTGTCTTCTAATAAACTAGTCACCGGCTTCTGAAAATGACTGTTATAATGATCTCATAAATTCAGTATAAAAATTGCTTTATGACCTCATCATAAAGCTTGTTTATACCCTCAAGCTGAATGGAATATCACGGTGTAATATTATGTTCAGATGTACTCTTTTCTACTGTTCATTACTGAGTAGTTGTGGTAAGCATTGTCTAAAAGTCTTGGTCGTTCTAGGGTGCATCTGTATGGCAGAGTGAGTTAGCCCCTGCTTAGCTCTGCATTGCTGTGGTTATACTGGTATGTGAAATAGTCTATTTTAAGGCTGAATCTATTACTTTTTGAGTAACACTGCAGTGTGTTTAGATATTCAACTATTGTATGTCTTAATGCAAAAGCTGCAGAGAGAAATTTGAACAAGTATCATAGTCTCTCAGCAAACAATGTGTTATTTTTAACCTAGGGATTTCTGTACTGGTTTTCATGCTTGGAAGCTGAGATTATTTGGCTTAGTCTGGTTCTTCTTAGTGATGGAAGAAACACACTCTTACTCCATGCCACATATTATGGACTTGAGGCTTAGAGATCAGTCTGATCCGAACAAATTTGGTCCGTAAACTCACAGTGATTACCATCACGTAATCATAATTCATTGGTAGTTCCTTTTTGTCACAAGGTGAAAAGGAGAATTATTCATCAAGATAGCTCGGTTCAACATAATGTCCATGGTTTCTTTGGAATAAATCTTCTGGGATTAAGAAATGCTACATGACACTAACTGGACAAAAGACCAAATCAAGAGTTGAAACGTAGAAGTCTCTTCACTGGGTGAAGAAAACTTTGAAAGCATATTGTGAGTTTTTTAAAATCTTGGTTTAAGTTGTTAAACAGAGACATTGATTACTGGCCATTGTTTGGCAGACTGAGGGCTGGTTTATAAGGGCCTTGGCTGACTTATTTGTTTTGGAACTTTTATGTTCAGGAGAACTTGCCTCTGCATACTGCACATGAGCTGTGATTCCAGAGATTCAACTGCAGAAACTTGAGAGGTTTCAGTAATCTCATGGAACTCCTCTGTTCCTGCACTATCAGTAAATGGTAGGAAGTGTTGAAATACAGTATGTAGTGCTAATCTAATTTAATACACCATCTTTACTGTATCTTTTCTGATTTGATCAGCAGTGTATTAAAATGAGATACAGGCTTTAATTTGATTTTTTCCATGCAGTTCTCAGGCTCTGCTCTTCTAGTATGTAAGTATGCTGTTAACTGAGATAAACTTTATATTGTTGATGCTTTAAGCTCAAACTCCTTTTACCCGTAAGCTTTAAATCTATTCTGTGTTTAAGCCCTTAAACTGAACAAATTGGAGATATATTTTTTTTTTTTAAACTTTTAAATAATTCTGGATCTTGCTTAAGTTAGTGGACATGATGAATCTATGGAGCACAATTGAAATTTAGATTCCTTCTTTTTGTTTGGCTAAATGTAAATTTAGGAATGAGATCTTAGGCGCAAACATATAACCCAAGTTAGATGTTCTACTTGCACACTGTCCTATTCTGGAATTCAATACTATGCTTGTAAATTCTGTGGCCC